GGGGTTTTTTCCTCTTTAATTTTCACTTTCATTTTGCGGCGACTCTCTAATTCAAATTTCTCTTCAGCCCACTTTTGCCCCACAACAGAGGCACTTTTAAAAAAACGGCTAGATTTCTTTCTGGAGCATGAGCCTGACTGTTGTGCTGTTAGAAGGAGGCTACTTTTTAGTTTGTACTAAGAAGTTGTTTGATTTACCTCCTTAAGTAAAAGTTGAAAGCAAGCCAGTTGCCTACAGTGTACAAAGCATGGCAGCTGAGTGGGAAATGAAATGCAACTTTCCGTTTAAAATTTACTCATCTGAGAAGGGCTGGTGACCAAGCATCAAAGAAAAGTGCGGCATCCCAGCTCCACCAACCCTCTGTGCTTCGCAGGTGGATGAGGCTCACTAGCAATTATTTTCAATTCAAAAGCTATATTGGGAGCATTTAAAGGAAAAGTGCATCCATTTTGATGAGTACAATAGTCTAAAAGTTCATGAGGGAAAGGAGCACTTGCATTAATAAACTGTGGCTGTTTTTAAAATGATGGCTTAGCAATTGTGTAGCGCTAATATTTAAATAATGTTTAATTTTAAAATATTAAAATGGCTTTTCTGCTGACTGACCACTAATAAAGTACATTAGAAATTAATATGCAGCCTTACACAGCATTCCCATTCCACTGTTAAAAAAACAACACACTCAAGCTGGGTGTCTCTAGCACGAGACCTTGTGAATATTCATATTCAGGAGCTGAGGAAAAGTAGTGCAGTTTTCCTTTTCAAAAAGCTCCTGATTTTTCATTTAAGTGAATAAGAATGATCTGGTAGGTAAAGTGCAAGACTAAGAACCAGTGCATCTAAGTTCTTGGCTCTGCTACAGCCTTGCTGCATTACTTTGAAAAAGTAACTACTTTTCTGTATCTCAGCTTCCCCATCTGTAAAATGGGGGCAGCAATACTTTCCCTACTCACAGCAGTTTTGAGGCTTCCTTTGTTAACAAGTGTGAAGTGCTTTGAGAGCCTCAGATGGAGGCACTCTAGAAGTGCAAAAGTATATTACAAACCTCTTCTAAAATATTTGCATGTTTTAGAAGGCCTACTCACTCCTAAAGAGCTGAGCATGGAGGCTGGGATCACCATAAGTGGTATTTTTCTTTGAAACAGGGCAACCACGCCCACAACTGAACTTCAAGAAAAAGACCATTTTGACACTGCTATTCATTGCAGTCCACAGTGTGTAAGAGGCACCTTGGTTGGTTTGAACTTTTAATTTCAACTAGATGTAGGTTTGAGAAAATGGAAGACGATTGGGAGAATCTCTTCCACTCAGATTCATAAAACTAAACTTTAGGCTGCCTTTGCAACTAAAACCTATAGCTTTTGGTTTAAAGTATCGCTCAAAATAACAGAGAAAGGGAGGAAACTATTTTTATTTGCCCATTTCAGTTACATAATGGTTTTACTCACTATACAAATAAGATGATGATGAAGAATGGTCAACTAAAAAGTGGTAAAATGGGCTGGTCACAGGATTATGTATGGCTTTGCAAAGGAAAAATGATGGTCAGAACTGTCATATAATTGCATCCAATAAATGTCTTCAAGGAATCTATAAAGACCAATCTGCTTAGGGCAAAAATACATTTAATCTTTATAAAGGGTCATCCAAAGATGGTATAACAAAAACATTCCAAGGGACCATAGGCCTAATGTATCAGAGAAGAGTGAATTATGGCAAATTATGTAGTTCACTGTAAAAGATAGCTTAAATCTAACAATTAAAGTGGACATCTAGCGCAGCTCACAGACTTTTGAACAAAAGGTGTTGAACAAAATGTTGTATAGCACAAGATGGTTGTAAGCACCATTTTATGGTCATACTTCTCACTTGAAACTCAATTTTTCTGCCTCAGACTTTAAAAATATTCTGTTTTTCCAAATTCATAACAGAAGAGACTCTATTATGAAGAATGTTATCTACTAACATCTCTATAAGAGAAACAGAAGTTATCTGGCACTGGAGATTACAGTGACATGGTAAATTATTACATTACTCTTTTACATCTGGTAACTTCAGTTCAGATTGTAGATTTGGTCACATATTGTTATTTTTTGTTGCAACTAAGATGGGACCACCAAATAACATAGCACATGTGGCAATGTTTGCTCAAGACATGTCCAGGACATGGATGCAGGCAGAAAGGGGTGCTGTACTGGCAGAGTAATGTGGGGAAGCTAGCAAAGATAATATGTGTAATTATGAAACAAGCCTCAGTGTTCTCCAATTGGTTGAATAGACCATAAAGGAAGTAAAGTACAGGTAGATATCACACTTGTGTTTGATATGGGCTTGACTGGTGGCCATATCTGATCAACTAAAAGTCTAATCTTTAGATACTATACTATGTGTTAATTTATATTATTACAATGTACTAATTACGTTTAAATTAATCTGGTTTCTTTTAGTACTCCCAACTCTTGCCAGACAGAATAGTTCATTGCTTACTATAAAAAACCCATTCTTTTGGTATGTTTAACTTGACATTGTGCAGCTGGGCTCAGTGCATCTTACACTTTCCCCATAACCTATGCTTGTTGAGTGCTTTATAAGTATGGTAGAACATTCCATTTTTCAAGCTCTTCTGAGGTAGTATGATTGTCTCCTGACACAGCCCTCAGACCAACATGCTTCCAAGTAAAGAGAAATAGGACTAAGACCTGCTGCAATGGCAGACACCCAAAAAAGTTGAGAACATTTCTAGTAATACAGAGGATGTGGTTAATCTAAAATGTGCAAATGAAATCACAGTGAAGCAGCCCCATTGCTAAAGTTAACTATGTGAACTTTACCCTTAAAAAAAGCTATTTTAAGTAAAACATAGCTGAAGTTTGGTTGTATTTAGAAAAACCTGCCTGGCTTATATAAAATACAATTTTAAAAGTTCTTTTAACATATTTGTATTAATAAAAATATGATTTTCCTTTTAAAATATAACCTTGCATATAGAGCTTGAGAGAGGTAGCTTAATTGGCAAACTGGAAGACTGAAGTCATCTGTTTGTCTACAGATTAGGTCAGGGGTGGCAAACCTGAGCCTGAGAAGGAGCCAGAATTTATCAATGTACATTGCCAAAGAGCCACAGTAATACGTCAGCAGCCCCCCATCAGCTCCCCTGCCCCCTCTCCCAGTGCCTCCTGCCCACCAGCAGCCCCAATGATCAGCGCCTCCAGCTCCCTCCCTACACTTCTCAATCAGCTGTTCCGTGGCATGCAGGAAGCTCGGGGGAGGGGGGGGGAGATGAGGGCATGGCAGGCTCAGGGGAGGGGGCGGGAAGGGGTGGAGTGGGGACAGGGCCTGTGGCAGAGCTAGGGGTTGAGCAGTGAGCACCCCCCGGCACATTGGAAAGTTGGCGCTTGTAGCTCCAGCCCCGGCATCGGTGCCTATACAAAGAGCCGCATATTAACTTCTGAAGAGTTGCATGTGGGTCCGAAGCAACAGGTTGGCCACCCCTGGATTAGGTATAGCAGGTGCAGAAGTAGTTCAAACTTCCCACATAGTTTTGTTCATGTGCCTCAACCCTAACCTAGAGGGATAACTTCTAGGAGTGAGAGAATAAGACATCCTCCATGCCCTTTTAACCTTTGGCTGATGTAGGACTACCATTAACGTGGATGCCAAGTGTGATGGTAATTTATATGATCTAGACTTATATCCACTTGGAACTAAACTGAGATAACTCATTTCACTTGCTCTGAACAACAAAACAGCAGTGATTAACCTGAGCTCTATTTTAAACTGAAGACTTACAAGTGAGAGGCTCCATATGCCATGACTTATCCCCCAAGCCATCTTGCCTCCCAATGTTATTCCTTTAAGATTAATATTTCTGAAATGGTTTGCCCATCTGAGATTGGTTTGTTTCTATTAATATGCTCCACTTAAAAAATATCATAGCTTACAATGTGCATATGCACACACTTGTGATCATCTCAATAGTGTAAATCCATGCGCTTTGATAGAGTAAAAACATGCTATTAGGTGAAATGAAGAGGTAATAATAATGAGGAATCTAAAATATGAACTTCCCAATACACACAGTGTTAAGAGATAATCATGGTAAATGAAACAAGATTTCTTAATTTACCATTCTGCCAAAATGAAATTGTTTTAATAAGTATAGCCAAGCACTTCTTTGAAAGTTCTGTTAAATGAATCAAAAATCTTAATTCCAGTTTCATCACAAGAATCAAAGCAGTTCATCAGAGTTCCTGCCATGCAGCAAAGTAACTGTGTGGCATATTTGTATTTGTCTTTGAAATAAACTTTGCACTTCAGAGTCATGTAAATGTTTGAACCATTTTCTTTGACCAGGTCAATTACTGTCTGTGATACATGCAAGAATGACTTTTTTAAAGAGGAGCATAGCACAGCTCCTTGTGCCTCAGCATGAGACTTCCATTTAGCTCACCTAATAAAGCTGCTATATTTAGGAGTAGGAAAGTCCTGGTTTAAATTTTGGCTTCAGTGGCTGCGAATTGCATACACCGAAGCAGCCAGGATATGAAAAATTACGTGACCTAGCAAAATCTACATATACAATGTATTTGTCCACCAGTTCATAGACATGTTGGTCCCCATTTTTTAAACCTTTTAATATTAATGAATATATGTTTCCAGTCCACTATTTTCAGGTATTCCTATGTGATTGTTTTAACAGAACCCTTACTAGCGGCATTACTGACTGAGGTATGTTTAGTGTCCATGGTAACTGCAATTTTGTTTGTTTACTAATTAAAAATTACAGAATCTCTCTAAGCATTTCTAGTGGTGCCCATCACCCATTATGGGAGAATTGAGGTGCTATACTAAAAGTATTTCTGAAGCTTGCTGGGACTGTAATTAGTCCTTTCCCCCCCTTCCCTTTAAACAAACAAAAAAGTCATCATGCTATTTACTATTGTCACACATTTATTTAAAACAAACCACTTGAGTAAAGTGCAAGGACTTAAAAGTCTTACCGCTGATAAGTTAGAATTGTCATAGTATATTCCTTGCACTAAGTCACCAATTGCACTTGATATGAGCTCCACAACCTGGAAAACAAAACAAAAAATACCCCAACATTATTTTTTAAATATGATCAATTACCTGATTGTCAACAGAGTGCCTAGAAGCCTCACTAACATTCCTTGCAGGATCATGGCTTCGAAAGACTGCATGGACTACCAGAAGAGATTCTGGCAAGATTATTTTTTGCCACCTAATGAGGAAGAAACCAGATCCAAATCTCCATACTGGAACCTCGAGCAAAGTCCTTTCTCTTTATATCAAAGCTTTAAGTTAATACAAATGAGAACCAAGTAATATTTATTTTCCTAAGAGTGTGAACTATAAAGTATATCCTCACAAGGATATACACAGTACTCCTAAATCCCAGTTCATGAATATGAGACAATAATCCCATCTGGGTTTGTTGGGCTTTTTTGCTGCCAAGTAGATATTTCACTATATACCTCACTGGGAACTGCTAAAATTCCAATCTTCACTGATAATACAGAAAAAGTCAGAATCCATCAAAAGCTAACCTTTCAAATATGGTCATTTGGTATTTGAGTGTACTGGGAATGCTCTGTGGATGTATTTAGTGCATGGCCTAAGGGTCAGCTGTACTCAGAGTGAAACAGTCTGCAACACAGGAATGTTTAAATCAGATTTATCAATCTGTATTATCTTCAGGCTTCAGACTTTTTATTTCATTCAAGCGAAGCCTAAAAATCTGAACTTGATCCAGAATGTAAAACAAGCAGTCCATAGTCTCACTGGAACTACTGTACAATTTAGAACTGTGTGCATGAACGGTCTTAATTGGAACAAAATACTGGGATTTACTGTAAAATTAAATGCAGCCATTTCAAATGAGCACACCTTAAGGCTATCCCTTTAGTTGTGCTCACAAAGTTTTAATTTCTTGAATGTTTAATTTCCTATGTGTATGATTCTATATCTGATTCCCCTCTTTGCTTCCTAAAATTCAGTCTAGTTCTTATTGAATTAAAGGATTTTGTTTCAGCTTGTATCATTCTTGTAATTGAAGACATTAAGCTAAATGATAAAGCCCCAAACAGAAATTTCAATGTTGAGGCTTGCTTTATTTGCTAATAAAAACACATTCTGATGCTAGCTTTAAGTATTTGCAACAAAGCTTTTTTAAACACTAATTCTGATACATATGCCTACAGAGAGAGAGAGAGAGAGAGAGAGAGAACGAACTTTAGAAATGGTGCTCATTAGCAGCTCTTTTTTCTCTCCTTGTGATGCATATGGGTTAATTTGTAAGACCTATAAAAACAGTCTCTTAAAAAAAAATCATGTTGCCATTTAGGTAACCAGATACTTAAGAAATATTGTAGCAATATGAGCTGCAGAGGAACTGAAAGGACAATGATCCTACAGTGTTACCAGATGTGTTGAGTTATTTAAGTGGGGAACAGAGAAAATGAGGGGCTTTTTTTGAAGGTATCAGATAAGCCCTATTCCCAAATCCAGAAGGATTGAGTATCGCCAATAGGTCTATGAAAGTCTGTAACCAAATGCCCAGCATCAGATTGTATTACAGTTTATACAAGCAACATCCCAAGATTCTTCTGATGGCTGAGACACATAATACAGATCAATCACTCACTAAAAAATGTTATGGTTTGTGAAACAGTCTGAGCTCATAGACCTATACTGGTAATACGAAGAAGAATTTACAAAGACATTGAGTCCTACTCTAAATGTCAAAGTGATAGTATGAACTTTTAACAATGCATCTGGCTGTGGATAACCAGACCTTTTCCTCGCTCCTCTGAAACTTTAAACTGAGCAGGACCAAATGAAACATTCTGTTTTGGGGTTTCTCTCTCCACCCGCCCACAAAAAACAATTCCATTAGCAAATGACAATTTTGCTGACTTAAGTGACTAAAATGATCTCCATGAAAATGTTTATCAAAACTCGTGCCTAATTTTCTTGCAATTTATATTATGTATTTTTTTTATTGATAGAATTCTAGGTGACTATATACATAAAATACAGTTTAAACCACTACTATATATTAGGTGAAAGATATTAAATGCTAGTAATATCGCAAACGCTGCCTCCTTTCATCCCCACCCTGAAAGCACTCAGTTTCCATACATTTTAAAAAAAACCCTGCAAGATCACACAGACCCTTGGCAGGGATGACAACTTATTTTCAAGACCAGGATGGGACACTTGTCTTTAAAAGACTGTCACTTCATCAGATCTTAATCTGCGCTCTGAAAAAGTATCTGCTGTGCAACATCAGTGGGCTGGATCTTTGGGCTGCAGGGAAAGCCATGGAAAACAAGACCAGTTATGCTTCTAAGTGTGTCCCAAATGGTTTTAAAGAAAACACAAGTTAGGGTCAACAGCATTTAAACAGTCAAATAAATAACAATATCAAGCTCTTATATAATGTTTTACAAAGGAGGCAAGTAACAGTATTCCTATTTTAATGATGGGGAAATTGAGGCACAAAGAGGTGAAGTGACTTGCCCAATGTCACTCCGCAGGGCATTGGCAGAGCCAGGACTAGAAGACAGGTCTCCTGAGTCCCAGTCCACTGATCTATCCACTAGCCCACACTGCCTAGTTCCATACACTGACATCTTTTTTGATAGAAGAAAGTTGTATGTTAACTTTGACTATTTAGGGGTCCACACCTGACCCTCTCATTTGTCTTCACTTTGATATGTTTTAGCTCCCTCTTAGGCAGGTTTCACCATGAGCAGGGCATGGGGCCAGCTGTACTAGCTATCTGAATAGGTTGCTCCTGCTTCAAAGAGCAGCAGCCCACAGAGACCAAAGGCAGAATGGAAAGGAGAAGCAGCTGTTCGTGCTTGTGCCCCTCAATTAATCTGAGAAGCTTGAGGAGCTCAGGGGCTATGGAAAGCTCTCCCTCCCACTTCAACTGGCAGTGTGGTGGGGTGGGGAAACAGCACCTTTAACTCCTCCCTTAACCTAATAAATCTGATGGAGGTTGAGGAAAACTCTCCCCAGTTCTAACAGTCATAGCTGGGGAGAGGGAGGAAGAAAAGAAGCATGTGTGAATCCCCCACTGGAGAAACCTAGAGTAGCAGCTTAAGATGATGATGAAAAACTCCTATCCCAAATATGGCAGTGACATCTGCAGGGTGGGAATCACTGACCAGGAAGATTTGTAATCTGTTCATAATTAAATTGGTCCTGAATACTTTCCTGAGAGCCCCACCAAGCTATGTGAACTCTCCTAGCAGCCCTGTGATCTGCCTCCAGAAAATAGAGGGAAACAAGAACGTGCTTGTGTGTTCATCAAGCCTTTTCTCTGCAAATGTCCTGGTGGGTGAAAGCGTGAGTCCTCATCTCCTCTCTCATCCCTGCAAGATCAAAGGGCTGCTAGGAGGGAGAACAATGGGCCAGTCGGGCAACAGCTTAGTACTCGGTGCCCATTTCATTATAACTAGCTTGTTAAGCTCCCCCACACCCTTCTCCTCCCTATTTCCAGATATCTGTGCCATCTTTTTACTGAAGGGTGTTTTCCCAACTTCTTCCTACAGTGTTGCCAGCTTCTTCTAGTGCCCCTCCCTCACCCAGCTTTGGATGTTTTAGAACTGTGTGTTTTAGAATTAAGTAAAAAGCAACAGAGGGTCCTGTGGCACCTTTAAGACTAACAGAAGTATTGGAGCATAAGCTTTCGTGGGTGAATGCCCACTTCATCAGACACAAGTAATGGAAATTTCCAGAGGCAGGTATAAATCAGTATGGAGATAACGAGGTTAGTTCAATCAGGGAGGGTGAGGTGCTCTGCTAGCTGTTGAGGTGTGAAC